GAATAGAATCAAATGGACCCAAAGCAGAGCCTCATTTCCCTGCAGCAATTGTCTATCTTTATCCTGTAGGATTCAAAAGCAAGAGAAGAGGTCTGTAAACACAGTAGTTCTGAGGTGCCCAGCCTGGAGTAGGAAAGCAACCCTCTCTTGGGCAACTCTGCAACCTCCCTGCCTCATTTTCCCCATCTGTTCTATGGGGAATGTTTATTAAAGTTCACAGCTTCCCCAAAGGTGGATGAGTATCGCACATTTTTACAAAAAAACCTCAAAGCAGGAACCCTCTGACAGAGTGTCTTCTTTTCTCATCATTTATTCTTACATTATTTTTAAAATAAATAGTCTAGCAGGGGAACAATTAATCAGAACCAATTCAGTGGTAGTCATTAAGTGACTTTGGTATTTGTAAAATAGATTCCTAAGCATACTGAAATGCTGTATATCAGAATGCAAAAGGCAGAGCTCCCATAGTGCCTGTCCATTCACTGGAGGTTGGAAGGAACAAAGACCTCCCCGAGCCAACTGTTTCCTGAGGACAAGTTTGCCAGAATGGCTCAAATTTCCCCTGGAGAGCCACTGTTGGAATTTCAGCTTTGACCTTCTGGAGAATCTATATTAAAATGCAAATTTGTTACCTAGGGATGCAATTTTTTACCCATTAATACCTATTTGTTAGCATTTTAACTCAAACTAGCCTTTTCTTTTCAAATTAGCTAGAGCTGAGAGCAGTACTTGAATAAAAGCAAATCTAAGCCTCTGAGGTGGACTCAGGGTGAATTTTGAAGGTCCTTGAGTTCTGGGGACACATCCCCACCACTGTCAGCACCAGCATTTGCAAGAGTGCCTGAGTGCATGTGTGTGCACAAACACACACAAGCCCAGAGGAGACTTAATAGTCTGGACTGTGGGCAGCATTGCCCAAAAGAAATATAATGCATCCCATGCTGATAATTTTAAGTGTTTTAGTAGCCACATTAAAAATGTAAAATTTTTACATTTTTAATGTAACCAGTTTGGCTCAGTGGATAGAGTGTCGGCCTGTGGACTGAAGGATCCCAGGTTCGATTCTGGTCAAGGGCATGTACCTTGGTTGTGGGCACATCCCCAGTAGGGGGTGTGCAGGAGGCAGCTGATTAATATTTCTCTCTCATCAATGTTTCTAACTCTCTATCCTTCACCCTTCCTCTCTGTAAAAAATCAATAAAATATATTAAAAAATAAAATAAAAAATGTAAAATGAAAAAGATCATATTTTATTTAACTCACTATAGTATTCAAATACAAACTAAATTTGTCTAAAAACAGACTATAAAGGCAATCAGGTACTATCAATCTTTCTGGGTTTTTTCTTTTTTCAAAAGGAGAAAGGTGACCCTAATATCTATATAGGATACATTTCAATAGTAAATTTAACTAGTTCCTTAAATTGGGCCTTACACCTCATGTAAGTAAGTCATCTATGCACCAAGAAATCCTGAAGGTACTATACAAACTTAGGAATATTTTTTAATTTTTTTAACCAAAAGTAATTATGTTTAAGTATTCTACAAAGGAACTTCTACAGAAGGCTATCCTAAAATACAGGGTGGGGCAAAATTAGGTTTACAGTGGCTCATATGGAAAATAATACAATAATTAATAAAAATACAAGAATGAACTCTGTTTCCAATACGCATATCTGTAAACCTACTTATGTCCCACATTGCACAACTGCCTGAGGGTAGTGGGTGAACTAATGAGAGAAAATAATTTTTCTTTCTCCTCCTCGTCCTCATTGATATTTTTCTTTTATTTAAAGTCAGCAGAAAGAACTAGTTAAGGCAAAACGAAAGGAAATGGTTTCAAAGTGTGCCTTGTACATGTGAACACATCTTCCCACGGTGGCATATTTGAAAGGCCAAGTACAACCATCCATTATACTGCACCCCATCTAGTGAACCTTCACCAGCAAAGGGGCAGAAGGATGTTGTCTCTTGGGTGTGCATTTTGGCTCCCTACAAGCTTGCTTGCCAAGGTATTATCATTCAAAAATGCAGTGTAACTGTTCTCACCCACCAGAGAATGATAGAAAACCATAGCACGTGTCAATGCTTGCTGTACCAAAGACATCTTTCACTGGGATATTCTTTACAATGAAAGATGAACTAAAATTTTTAAGATGCGAAGAAGTGGTGAATAAATATGGGATGTACTTACACATTTGTGCACCAAATGCTGGAGGGCTGTGAACCAACCACTCAAGGCAAAAAAATAAAAAAATGTACTGAGCCATCAGTTTAGTAGGTCATTTTGAACACAGAAAAAGGGCTGTGTGCATGAAAAACTACTACTATATTTTCAGAGATCCTTTCTAAGAATCCTGAAATATTAATAACATGGTCTTAATGTAGTTGAAGACAAAAGAATGTGGCAAGGGTTGCTGAGCATAGCACAATGACAATTTGGTATTTTCAGCTTGTGCTTGTAAAAGCAAGAGGAAAAGAGAATAAAAATAGTGTGTTTAACGAATAGCAGCCTTCAATTTTACAAATAGGTAAAAAACCATATTCTCCAATTGAATTCACATGTACATATTCTTGATAGCATACTAATACTAGCTTCAAGGAAATGTAGAAAAAATATATTAAAAAACCAAACTAGTTTTTTTTAAAATTAATATGTTCGTAGGACTAATTTTTGAACGTTAAGAAATTAAAGACATCCTCCACCATGATTTTTGTGAACTATGGATTTAATTTTTTGACTGGATGTAATCTTACTGGAATGGAAGTTGAAGAATTAGCAATGCTTCCCACCGCTCTATTTTTCTTACAAGCTTTTGAAGGAGCCGTGTTTTCCCATTGCAATGAATCAGCCGCAGGTCAATTTTCATTGTCAATCTTTCACTGCCATTGTGAGTTTTAAGGTTTTGATGCCTGGTGAAATGGGGTTGCACAAGGATTAGGAACACGGAGAGTTTTCCTCCAACATCCAGAAGTGAAATAATAAAAGCAACGCATGCCTTCTTGACCGTCCTCGCATCGCACCCTGTGACAGGTTGCCTTTGCGGGCTGTGGCTGAGTGAGTGACAGACAGGACCCAGTGGGTTTGCCCCGAGTTCAGGGACTCATGGTCTTTGATGTGGGACGGACAAGCCAGTGCTTCTTTCTGCCAAACCTGGAGTTTCTGATTTTAATCCAAACCCTAGGGCCATCATAAGCATGACCAAAAGCACCTTGCATGTTGAACCCTATCTAATTATGTGGACTGTATAAACTCGAGACACATAAATTTCAGTCACTGGAGCAACTTGTTTTTCTAAGATGCTCCGGTCCAGTGAGAGATGAAAGCAAATAAGGGAGAGATTGATCTCTGAGCGCTTTTATGGTCGGTGCGCCACACGTCATAAACTTCTGGCTCGTTAAAGGAAATTCCATAAACAACTTTAGTTAATAGCGACGAAGGAACTGTGTGCCTTTCTGGAGCTTCTGCTAAACTCCCTTTCCACTTGGCGATTACAAGAGCACGATTAAGGAAATACCAACAGGATGCGCAAGAGGGAGGAACAGCCTTCAACTGGAAGCCACTCGGATGCTTGATGGATGAGTAATGAGACAAAGGAATGAGGCCATTGCTGCTCAGAGAATCAAGCAGTTTTGAGGACCTCTTTGTCTCTCCTCATTTGAATAAAATCTCCTGGCTTGCTGACATGGTTGGTCTCTTATGGTGGGTCAGGCTGATGGAAACTTGCCTGATGGTTTCTTCTCCCAATTGGTATTCTTGATAGTATAGAAACATTGTAAGGAGGTGATAACTGGAAAGAATTGAGAGTGGATCACACTGGAAAGATTGTCAGCAACTGTCACTTTTTTCTCCCTCTGGTCTTTGAAATAACTTTATGTTTAATGGCCTTGTCACTGTGGGTTTAATACCGATGGTGTTGGTCAATTTTTATTTGAGATTGAGACAGATTTGGGAGGTGATCGTGAAGGGTATAGGGAGAAAAAAGGGGAGCATGGCTCTCTTAATTATTTTTTATTGTGAGGTTTCCCAGAATTAGTGGGTTTTTCCACATTAGTGAAAGCAGTCTTCGGTGTCAGTGTGATGATGTTTGTAAAGATGAAGTCATGGAAAGTGTGTCAGGTGCATAAGGAACTATATGGCCCATGTTCTCTGCACCAGCCCCTTGGTGGTAGTGGAGGGAGGCGGGCGAGTGTGGAGGAAGGGAGGGGAGTGTTGAAAACCTGGGGAGGGTTTTATTAATTTGAAAATAAACACAAACTATCTTCTGATCTTAATTTTTTTTAACATATTATATTCCAGAATCTACTATTGGTGTTATCTAGAACTTTCCCCTGAAATTGTGACTCACGTCTGAACAACTCTTCTTTTCTTTTGTGCTCAGTTGTTTTTGTTGGTCTTTTCCCTTTGGCCCTCTCTGTAGCTGTAATTAGGAAATAATCAGCAACCAATTTTTTTGTTGGCACTTGGCTACGCTTCCAACTGGTTGGTCCAAGACCATGCTCTCAGATTTCATAGCATGTGGCAAAGAGTGCAGGCTTTGGGGGCAGGACATTTAGGGTCAAAGCTGGCCCCTGACATTTACCAGATGCATGGTCAGGTACTGGCAATTTACTGCTCAAAGCTGGTATTCTTCATTCCTAAGGTAAGGCTAATAAGAGTACCTATGGAAAAGAGGCGCCGGGGGGTTAAACATTGTGCATATAAGCAGGGTCCCAGCACACAGGAAACACTGGGGAAACTTTAGCTGTGATTTTACTGATGCCACCAGTTTTAAGAAAAATTTTTCCATAGGGCTCCTCTGCCCTCTGACCAGAAATGTTAATGTCCCCTAAAGAGTGACTGTAATCCATGCACGTTTTTGGTTGCTTTACCTGCATCTCAAGCCAGGCGATCACTAGTGATTAGCAAAAACGTCTCCCTTCTTCGGAATCAAGGAGGTGATGCTAGCTTTGCTATATTAGCAGCGGTTTATATTGGTTTGTTTTTCTTCTTTCCTGTAGCCTGCAAAATTGGCTATTACAAAGCCCTCTCCACGGATGCCACCTGTGCCAAGTGCCCACCCCACAGCTACTCTGTCTGGGAAGGAGCCATATCCTGCACCTGTGACCGAGGCTTTTTCAGAGCCGACAGTGATGCTGCCTCAATGCCCTGCACCCGTAAGTTGTGTGATTGTGTCTCGTTTATACAATAGCAACAGCTTTCATTCCCACCTAGCGGGGCATTGCCAGGTCTTCTCCCAGGATAACTGTGCAGGGGGCAAATTACATCAAACAGGCCTCTTTTCTTAATCATAGCAGGGGAAATGATTATGAAAAGAAAGGATCTTTTTCACTGTTCTGTGGCCTTCAAAATGCACAGCTGCGAGCAGATGACTTTGCAGAGCAGAGATTGAGCATTCAGGGGCCGTCTGACAGTGTAATTAGATCTGAGGTTGGAATTTATAAATGGCTTTATGGGCTCACCGAGGACTCAAGGAGAAGCTTGACAGTGGCAGGGAAGCGGGTATAGGGCAGGGCTCATAGCATGGGATCCCCTGCGGACAAGAGGTTTCAGTTCTGTGTGATACTGATGTCATAGCTTGCGTTGTCATTGCTCTGTGTACACTCTGGGCTTCTCAGGCCCTGCAAAGGCTGTGACCTTGACCAGAACAGGGAGTAGTGTGCCCAGGTATTCCACCCAAAATTTCATCTTGGCTGCCTGGAGCCAGCATCACTCAAATAAAAGTACTTTCTCATGGGGGTGGAGGGAGTCAGTAAGGCCAGCTATTTGGCCATTGTCCAGCCCAGGTACCACCTTTAAAAGGTAGGGGAACAATTTCAGGTCCATCCCAAATTTGTACTAAAACTGTCATACTCCCATGAGTTCCTTTTATAACCAGAGACAATACAAGAGCAACAACAACCATTTATAATTATGCCCAGGTAATGTGGCAGGCACTTTCAATAAACCTTATCACAGGGCTGATATTATAAGATAGAGATTGTCTTCATTTCATAGAGGAGGTAACTGCCAGCTCAGAGATGTTAAGGAATATGCGCAAGACTCCACCCAGCCTGGCGGAAGGGCTGGACAACCAGAAGACTTCCATCACCCCATTTACTGGGAGGCCCTCTTGCCAGCTACCTAAATTCCAGCTCTAACTTCCACAGGGAAGGAATACATGAGGGCCTTTCTTAGGTGTAAGCGTACATGGGCAAAGATGTCCTTGTGGTCTTCTTTTTCTGTTCCTTTCGTAGACTAAGTACTGTCTCTGGATGGCCATATACATTTGACAAGCTCAAGTCCAAGCCTTTTTTTCTTTTTCCAATCTAAATATTCTTATGTTCCATTGCGTGATTAATTTAATAGTGAGTCTCTTCCTCTTTTCATACCCAATACCAGCAGTATTTCTCCTGATCCATTTTCTTGTAACTCCTACACTTCACTAACCCAAACATGTAGGATTAGTCTAATGCTTATTGCATCTCTCCAAGCCAAGTTAGGAAGAAACAGAATGCTGATCTTAACGCCACCAACTTGTGGGGTTATTTACCCTCTCCAATCCCCAGTTTACGCATCTGTAAAATGGGGTTCTTACTATCTACTTGTGGGGTGGCTTTAAACATTAAATAAGAAAATATTTGTACTGGTCTGGCACCTGATAGGGATCTAACAAATGTTGGTCCTCTTTTATGGCAGCTGGTCACTTCCTCCAGAGCAGATTACCAATGCCTGTCCATGCCTCTGTGGTGATTTTCTCACTGACTGCACAGTTAAATGACCCAACAGCTTTACTGCACTCCAGAATTTCTGGGAGTAGGACTCAGCACCAGTATTTTCAGAAGTTGTCACCATCATTCTACTATACCAGTGGTTCTCAACCTGTGGGTCGCCAACCTGTGGACCCTTTCACAGGGGTCGCCTAAGACCATTGGAAAACACATATATAATTACATACTGTAATTTTGTGATTAATCACTATGCTTTAATTATGTTCAATTTGTAACAATGAAAATATATCCTGCATATCAGATATTTACATTACGATTCATAACAGTAGCAAAATTACAGTTATAAAGTAGCAACAAAAATAATTTTATGGTTGGGGGTTACCACAACCTGAGGAACTGTATTAAAGGGTCATGACATTAGGAAGTTTGAGAACCATTGTACTATACAGACAAGGTTGAAACCACTTCTCTATAGAGTTGAATTTTTAAGTTCTTTTTTTAAAAAAATTAAATTCAATGAACATTTACTGCAACGAACATTTACTGTATAAGACCTCCTTTGAGATAGGGATTACCCGAGAGGTAACCATATGTTGCTAACAGGTCTACTAGTAAGTTAAGCAGCAAAATTAGAATCTATTCTCTTCCTGATGAAAACAGTGGACCTGCACTGTCTGATCAATAGCCCCGCATTACATATGGCTATTTAAATTTAGAGTTAATCACATTCAGCTTAAAATTCAATTTCTAATTTAGGTTTGCCACATTTCAAGAGCTCAATAGACATATGTGGCCAGTGGCCACCATACTGGGCAGCATGCCTGAGTCACTCTCTGAGTTATTTCTGTCATCTCAGAAAGTTCTGTGGGACAGTAGTGCTGCAGCAGACATCTCAATAGAGAGGAGACAGTGGGAATTTCTCAGAGAACCTCTTGTTCAAATAACCCACAGGATGAAGCCCTCCCCCCTCACCCCACTCCCAGCCTTATCAGATTCTCTTGACAAGATCTGGGGATGGGAAGGAGCCTAAACATCAGGGATCCTTTCAAACAGATTCCAGCCTCTAATGAGTCCTTACCAGTTGGTTAAGCCAGGTGACAAACCCAATTTTCTGGTGCTGACAGCCATGGCAATCAGGCACCTTCTTTGTTCATTCTGCTGCCTTTAACCCCCGCATTCTTATGCAGCCCTGCGTTTACTGATCACTCACTGTGACGGCACACTAATGAAGAAATAAAATACACGAATTGAGACTCATTCTTCCAGCCACAGAGAGACTCTGCTCCACTGGCTCATAAAATCGGGTTTTTGTTCACTTGGAGCACGACTAGACCAGGTGAACACATGCGGCATTGGCTAATTTAGCAGGAAACGCCTAAGACGTTCTGCACACCATCTACATTGCTAGAGAATGTGATAGAATTTAATGGCAAATAAACTTTAGCTTTGGGGAGATTTTTCATGGAGCCTCTGGCTAGGTTAACGGTGGTGCCTGCCTGAGAGATAGACAATGTTTCAATGGAGGAATCATCTGAATATTTTCAAGAAGATAATCCGCATCTGTTAGAACAATACTTTTTAAATGTTCATGTGCATGGAAAGCACCTAGTGATCAGCAGAAGTCAGGCCTGGCATTCTGCTTTTCTAACCAGTTCCCAGACGCTGCTGATGCTGCTGGTCTGTGGACCACTTTTCCGTAGCAAAGAGTTAGAATTCAGGGGTGGGCAAACTTTTTGACTCGAGGGCCACAATGGGTTCTTAAACTGGACCGGAGGGCCGGAACAAAAGCATGGATGGAGTGTTTGTGTGAACTAATATAAATTCAAAGTAAACATCATTACATAAAAGGGTATGGTCTTTTTTTTCAATAGTTTTATTCATTTCAAACGGGCCGGATTCGACCCGCGGGCCGTAGTTTGCCCACAGCTGAGTTAGATCCTCCCTGATGGATGGTAGGAGACAAGGGACCCTCTCTTCCATGTCTGTAAGTTTCAGGCTGCTCTTCCACTCAGTGGTGACTCTCTGAAGATAATTCCAGGGTTCTGAACATTCTTCCTTAATGGAAATCGAATACTTCATTTATCTCCCGCATGAAGAAAATCCATCTGGTTTGGAGTTGCATAATCCAATACACTCACTGTGGAGCTTCTTTTGTTTGTATTTTCTTCCGGAGTCCCCACTAGGTTACTGCCAGAGAGGGTCAATGGGAATGGTCACCTGGGACATGTGGACCAGTCGAGAAAGGCGATGGGGCTTTTGGTGACATTGCTAGCAAGGCAGACACCGAGACCTTGATAGACACAAGGATGTCATTTAAGTTGATGAAGGGATTTTGATTTCATAAATCATTTTTAGAAGAAATTTCAGTGGGATTTTAATTCATGAAGTTAATGTCCTTTAACTCTGCAGATAACCAGCGCTTCCCCTTCAGATCTCGTTCACCTTCCCTTTTCCTTTCCGTCATCAGGAATGTTGTCTGGCGATTCCAGTGTTGGAGACGTCAGCTGCATGCCTGTGCAGGAGCACTGAGTGCCTTTGTCACCTAGTCGCTTGTTCAGTGATTATAGTGAGAAAGGTCTTCCCCCGCCACCCCTCCTACCCCCAGAAGGCTGAACCAATATTACACGTAAAGTAATTTTCCAACCCTTTATCTTGTTTTAAAATGTACCTGGGAAAAATGCCTGGTAGAAGAAGTAGATTGGCTCTGTGTATCTAGAAAGAAATGGCTAATTTGTTATTTTGGCAACTTTACTTCTGAGCACCATTACCAGAGTGGTTTTGCGTATTTTTCAATTGGAAATCTGTTCTTGTGCGGCTGGGTACTCCTTATTTAGCTTGTTTGATGAAACTTATCTGAGCCCTGTGATCGGGAGCCCTCTGTAAATAAGAGATTATTATTTTAGATTGCCAACTTAAAGGGCCTTCACAAATCTGTCTCCAAGTAAACGGCCTTGAATAATTCAGTCAGCTGTGCCAAACAAACAAAGAGTGGGTGATTGATACTTAGACGTAGCCTAAAATATTCCAAAATTGCAGCTTTTAGGACAATTTATACTGGAGTTGCTTAGAGCTAATGAGGGTAAATTTACCAAGATCTATGACGAAGGGTCTTGATTTGAAAAAGCTTTTTGCAGGTTTAGGTTATCAAGCAATTGAATAGCTGAGCCCTGAACAGCAAACATCACTTACTTTGTCTCTACATTTGCCTTTTTAAATTGAATTTAGTGTGCCAATGTATTTCCTTCACAAAGTGTATTGTTTTAAAATTACCATTTCAGTTCTATTACTCAAAGCCTTCATTTCTAATGCTTTCTGACAGTTATCAACATAATGAACCATAATGAAATGATGAGCAATCTTCAGTGCAAACCCAGTGTGGATCCCAGTGGTTCTGTGACTGTGTTGTTAAAATTTGAATGCAAATTAAAATAACATCGTCCTTACTT